AAATGTATCGCAGCAAAGATAAATACAGTCGATTTATCTATCTTTCGTAAAAGAGCAGCGTTACCTCAAGCAAGCACTTAGTGATGCCTTGTTTAATTTCCGAGGAAATTAATGCGCGAACTTGGAGTAAATCTTTTGCAACAGACCCTTCCAGGCACGGTCGAAAATTTGATATGAATATTTGAGCTGAAATTCATTAGCTTCTGCGGAATAGCCGCGTAATATTCACAAGCCACCAACAGGCATACAGTAGTATATAATTGTGTAATTATCTACCGTACTAACAACACATGTTACTGGTAGATTTCAGCTCAAATATTCATATCAAATTTCGGACCGCGCCTGTAAAGGCCTGTTCCGAAGGCATCGCTCCAAAGTTCGCGCATAAATTTCCTCAGCAATTAAACAACGCAAGTTGAAACTGGAGTTTATATACCAGAAAATATAAGGGGAAGGCTGGGGGACCCACTGGTGAGCCGAACCCCTCGCAGCTGCGTCAGGTAGCAGCACAAGATCGACGAAACACGCGTGTTTGGGCTTTTAGCTAGCGCCTCTGTTGTTTGTAGGTAAATGATTACACAATTGAGCACTTAGTGTGTTTGAACGCATATAACTCTGAAACATCGACCTATGTTTCGGTCTAAAGGAGGTCCTAGTTTTGGTTATTTAGGCCAATGCTTTATTTTAATGTTAAACTGTTAATGGTTATTTATGCCTTGATGATCACTTCTAGCATCTTTTCTTTCAGATATCTCCACAGGAAGACGGATAGCCCTGGAACCGACTACATTCCTATTCAAGTAACCATCTGGAAACGCTTGCCGGACGGAAAGCGTCAGTTAGTCCAACGAGAATCCAAGTATCTACCGGTAAAAATCGCTGGAGCGCGACCACTGACACCGCCAACTATTCGCGTTTTCCGTCAGGTTAGTGGTAACCTCAGCTAGAGACCTTTAATTCCTTAAGCGAACTTTATTCACCGTTTTAAATACACACCGACTCGCATTGCCAGAAACGAACGGAGACAGAAGAGGACAGTCAGCGCAGATGAAAGACAGTTCGACCGCCGGTTTCGACGATGTTCACCGCGTGTTCCACAGCTGGGTGAAAACAGGCACGGTGACTCGCACGCGAATTAGTCTGTAGTGATAGTGGACTTGCGCAGCATCTACCGCACTCTCCCTTTCCCCCCACCTGGATCCGGTGTTGAAACGAAGTCAGAAAAACCGGAGGCGGATGAGGGGGCAGGTGGCTGCCACGGCACAGATCCGCGCCTAGGCGTGCCATCACTCACCTTGGTTCAAAACGAACATTGGCCAGGATTTTGCACGACGAGAGAAATAAAGAGCGACACGGATCCCAGTTGGCGTGACGTGAGACGGCAACTGGGCCCGTCGCCACACCCCCAATGTTAGCATTTGGTGTGGGCACACATTCCCAGAAACGCCAGCCGGAAACCGATATGGCCCCTGTGTTAGTCCAGAGCGTCTGCTGTGTGACACGTTTTAGGGGGGCAAAGAAAGCACAGACAATGCATTATTCGCAGATGGGATTGTCACGCGGCCCCATGGCAATTCGACCGTCACGAGCTACGGTGTTCACCCTTGCCCCCACGAAGTGGGCCTAACAGTGGGGACTTGTGTGTGAATTATTTTACGGTGAGCAGACTTGCACAGCGTCCAACACACTCATTTCCACCCCATTCACTCTGCACTAATGGTGAGACGAAGTCAAGACGACCGAAGGTGGGCGCGGACGCCTTGGTGGACAAAGATATACGGTCTGTCTACGCGTGCCACACACGAGCTGGTCATCACATATCTAGAAACAACTGACCGGCAAAACGTCCTGTAACTTGCGGCCATTCGCGATGAGGGCGTATGGATTGATGACTTCAGTGTGACCTGACCTTTCGACCATCATAAACGACTTTGTCCAGCACGTGTCCAACAGTATCTTGAGCACGGGACAGTGACTTGCATGTGAGTTAGTTTCTAATGCTAGCGGACTTGCGATGTATTTATCGCACTCACTCCTCCTCACCTACCTCTGCTCGGTGTCAAGAAGACCGGAGGCGGGAGTAGGCGAAAAGGGTCGACGCGGCGGAAACCCGCGCCTAGGCGTGCCACCACACTCCCTGACCCACGAACAAAAGACCAAGATCTCACACATCAAAAAGGGAGGGAGTGGCTCGAATCCCAAATAAAAGATTAGACAAATGCACTCACCCCCTAACGATCAAGACACCTCATTCAGTTACCATCCCAGACTCAGCTTTTGCTTCCATGGCCTCTCAGCATACAGTCAAATCATCGAATAGGTCTTGGCGCCAGTAGTTAATGTCAACCATAGATCTTGATGGAAAAATTATTTTGAAGTACGCTCACGCTTATTTAACATTCCTAAGTCAAAGAACTAGACAGAGCGGATTGTGGGTGATATTTATTGGTTTTTAGGTCCGTTTTGGGATGTTTACCTGCTTGGAAACTGCAAACTAACCGTTATTGGAAGAGAGGATTTTGAGTCACGATTTGGAACGAAATTCCAGGGCAGATTTATCCCTTTTATTTGCTAAACATCCAGTCACGGCTTTTATAGAACGATAGGCGGAAAGTTGCATGTTGTTAGTCAACCTTGGACCACGGCAAGCACCCTTCCAGTCTCGCCCCGTCTATGTTTTAAAAGTAACCATTATCGATTTCCAATCACTGACACGTTTAACTGTACCCTGTTCCCACATAATTGTACTGGCCTGAGGAAAATTTATAGAAAGCAGCGTGCAGTGCGTGACCGATCTCATGAAATGTTGGCCGAAATTCCGAAATGCGTTTGCAATTAGGAAGGGTTACTTAGGTGACGTTGTTAAAGTGATAAGTATACAGCACAAGCCTTTAGCATTTCGGACTCACTAGGATGTCGGCTTTTGGATGCACTCCTTCTTGACCTCCTACATAAGCCGCATTTCGCAAAAACTGGCTACTTAAGAAGCATGCATTTCTATTGATTTTCGATGGTCTTGTAAATTCGAATATATTTTATAGAAAACATGCATAAAAATATGCTTTCTTTTACTCCTTTGGTAGAAAATCACATTGTCTTGATAGTTGACATTCGAAGAAAGTGTATACTTGGGTTTTAAAAAAAGTTTCCAATTATGAGATTTTTAAGACGTGCAATGTCCATGCATACAGGACCGCACATGCCCGTTTATCAATGCTCCTCATGAAATGTACAACACAGTCCAGATCCACTGCAAAATTTTATGAAATCTATGCGGTATCTTCTTAAAGACATAGAGGAATATATAATTTTCGTTACGCGGAAAGCATGCATCTTGTAGATTGAAATCGCCAAACGCTAATGCAATGACAACTCAAGCTCAAAATTAATCGGGAATTGGAAAACTCTTTTAAAACCTAAATATACGTGTTTTTCGGGTATAAAATATCAAGAGACTGTGATTGCCTACCAAATTAGCAAAAGAAAGCATATTTTGGGCATGTTTTCTATAAAAGATGTTTGCATTTAAAATACCATCTAAAATCCATAGGGAAAATGAATGCTACTTAAGTAGCCAGTTTTTACTGAGTGTGGGTTCTCGAGGGGAGCAAAGAAAGCTCACTCAACAGCCGGCATCCTGGTGAGTCCGAAATGATATAGGCTGCATACTCATCACTATAACAACCCCACCTAAGTAATCCTTTCTAATCGATAACGCATTTCGGAATTTCGGCTAACATTTTATGGGATCGGTCACGCACTGTACGCCTGCCAACTCGTCTCCTCAATAGGGCTAGGGAAATTTTCGTAATTCTAGAACTATTTTACTAAATATTGAACGGAGTAAGAGAAGGAAAATAACCAGCTGCCAATTTTTGACATTTTTGTTTGCCTAGGAGATGACGTAACCTGAAGACAGCGGTATACGTAGAGGTAGTTGAAGCGCGACAATTAGCTCTTATCCTACAGACATAACCGAGTGCGAACCCTGCAGAAGAGAGTGAAACGACACGGTGGCGAAGTAAAAAACGAAGTAGATGGGTACTCACACAACTTTTTCAAACAAAACAGACTATACAGATTAGCCAGAGGATTGGTAGGGAAGAAACCAAAAACCTAACGAATGCTGTCATATATCGATAGTAGTATGTTCGAAGCTACCAACCTCCTGGAAGTGTCATGAACGCCAGGTCTAAAGTCATAGAGCGGCGACATATTCTGAGATTGATGGACACTCAGTCCTAGGCGAAACTTCTTACATTGACCGTCAGGTTCGATGTGACTTATACCAAGTAAATTAGGCCAGGAAGACTTGGGGGCGACCACAGATATGGATGAATAACATGCACGAGTGGCGAAAATGTTGTTAGCGGCAAGAGGATAAGATAGTTAGTGAAGGGGACGACTGCAGGACCAGGGAGACGCCGAAAGCTTGGCACACAAGAACTTATCTCCATACATTGTGGCGTGACTATTCTTATGGCGCAACAGCTCTTACGAACATGGCTACTGAATTAAAGGCAAGTAGTATACGGATGCGGGAGCAATGCTGTCTCAAGCAACAGGGCCGCAATGCGTAAGGCAAACGTCGGTGATAAATATACTGGGAAGGTTGGCAGGTCTTCCAGGACCAGGCCTCTCCCACTGCTGACCGCTGAAACGTCAGGCAAGAGCACAGATGCAGGATGACGCTTGCCCAACAGTCAGCGTGATCGTAAACACCGTTTACTGCGGCGTCTGATCCCCCTTCGGGAGAGAAGTTTGTTCGTTTCTTAAACGTCGGGGAAGTTAATGCATATGGGCGGGTAACTTGACCCAAATGTGATTAAACCCGCGTCATCCGGCGGGACCTCGTAGCTCAAGGGGTTAGAGCGTTGGCTGTACTAAAGCCTTCCCCTTACTGCGTGGGTTCGAATCCCACCGAAGCGCCGTCTTTCACAGTCGGGTCAATATGAATCATACAAAATCTGCCATAACATCAATGAATATGTTCGGTATTGTCAACCGCCGCCGCCGCCACCGCCGTCACCACCACCACCACCACCACCACCACCACCACCACCACCACCACCACCACCACCACCACCACCACCACCAATAACAACAACGATAACATAATCTACTTCTTCTTCTTCCTCTTCTAATATCGATCTAGCTTTTTCGCAAACTACTCCTTAAACCGTAATCTAGCAAACGGTATTTTTTTCCATAAATTCAAAAACCACTGATAAAAACAATTTTAGTATAAGAAAATTCGACGAATAGCGCATAGGAATTCCTTATCTAGGAATGACTTTCAAATGGAGGTTTCAGGCACTTCAAGTCAGTGTCAAACCAAGTCAACGTGACTTTAAACCTAAACTATAACTCCTACTCTCCAAAACCGCGGTACTGGCGACCGACCGCTTGTGGTTTTTTTCATTAATTAATGGACCTGCTGCTGTCCGACGAGATTATAGAAAGCTTTGTACATTAAAAGGCCTTCCCGATACAGCAGTTTCAGTACCAAACACTTTTTACGTACTTTAGTGTAAGATGATACCATACTAACATCAAAGGTACAGTAGATGTGCTAACTTATGAAATGTCAACCAAAATTTCGAAATGCGTTCTCGTTTCGAAAAGATAAATTAAGTAGTGTTGTAAAACTTATCGTGATGCCGCATAAATATATAATGATCCAGTTACCTCAGGTTGTCGGCTTTCGAAAGAACTTATTTTCGACTGCATGTAAGATCTATACTCTGCAAAAATGATTACTTATATAACATGCAATTTTGTCAATGATTTTCGATCCCCTTGAAAATTCAATTATATTTCATAGAAAACATGAATAAAAATATTCATTCTTTTACCTATTCGGTAGAAAATTACGTCTTCCTCTAATTTCATACTCAAAGAAGAGTATAATTCGGCTTTAAAAACTTTTCTAATTCCCGGATAATTTTGAACACGACCTGCTGTTACACTTGCATTCAGGATTTCAAAACTACAAGCTGTATATTTTCCGTGTACGGAAAACCATGCATTTCTCTACGGTGTTAAGAGGAGACCATATGAGGTTCATAAAATAAAGCAGTGGATTTGAGCAATATTGTTAACTTTACAAGTTACATTCGTAAATGCAGATACATGACGTTTCATGAACGGCCATTTAACGGTATTAAAAAACCTCACAATTATAAACTTCTTTAAAACCGAATTGTACTATTCTTTCGAGTATGAAATTAGAGGAAGACGTAATTTTCTATCGAAAAAGTAAAAGAATGAATATTTTTATGCATGTTTTCTATGAAATATAATTGAATTTTCAAGGGCATCGAAAATCAATAAGAAAATTGCATGCTACATAAGTAGTCATTTTTTGCAGAGTATAGATCTTGCATGCAGCCGAAAATAAGTTCTTTTGAAAGCAGACACCCTGAGGTAATTGGATCATTATATATTTATGCTGCGTCATGATAAGTTTTACAACAATACTCAATTTATCTTTTCGAAACGAGAACGCATTTCGAAATTTTGGTTGACATTTCATGAGTTAGCACATCTACTGTACTAGCCAAAAGCCCATACACGCGTGTTTCGCCGATATTCTGCCGCTGCATAGCGCAACCGCGAGGGGTTCGGTGCGTCAGTGGGTCTCTCGGCGACACTTTCTAAATTGGAGTATCTACCAGAAAGCAGACGAGGAATGCTGGGGGACCCACTGACGAGCCGAAACCCCTCGCATCTGCGCCATGTTGCGGCAGAATGTCGGCGAAACACGCGTGTATGGGCTTTTGGCTAGTACCTGTGCTGTTAGTACGGGATCACCTTCCCCTAAAATATACCATTAGTTGCCTGTGGGCAGTTAATGAATTTTACGCGGTTATCCGCTGTGAGTGATGGACTTCAGCCCAAATGTTCATACATACAGTGCTTGACCGATTTCATGAAATGTTGGCTGAAATTCTGAAATGAGTTTTCGATTAGGAAGGATTACTAACGTGGCGTTGTAATATTAATCATCTTGTGACATAATCTTATAATACTGCAGACTCGTCAAGATATCGGCTTTCGAACGCATCCCTTTCCGATCCCCTGAAGAAACCTCGCTCGGTAGAAAATGACTACTTATGTAGCATGCATTTTTCGCAATGATTTTCGATGGTCTTATAAATTCAAATATATTTTATAGAAGACATGCACGAAACTATGCCTTCTTTTACTCGTTTGGTAGGAAATCACATTCTGTTCTCATTTTATATCCTGAGGGAGGTTATCTTTGGGTTTTAAATAGGTTTCTCATTATGCGATTTTTAAGACCGTGAGATGTCCATGTAAACAGCATCGCACATAACAGTTTACTAATGCTCCTCACAAAATGTACAACATGGCCCGCGTCCATTGCAAAATTTTGGAAACTCTGTATGGCAACTTCTTAAAGACATACAGGAATGTATGATTCTCCTTACGCGGGAAGCATACACCTTGTAAAGTAAAGTCGCTAAGTACTAATGCGACGGCTGATCAGGCTCAAAATTATTCGGGGAAGGGGAAACTATTTCAAAACTTGAGTATACATTTTCTTCAGGCATAAAATATATGATTTTCTGCCAAACAAGCAAAAGAAAACATATTTTTTTGTGCGTGGTATCCATAAAAAATATTTGGATTTATATGACCATCGGAAATCAATGTGAAAAATATGTGCTACTTAAGTAGTCATTTTCTATCGAGCGTCGTTTCTCCAGGGGTCGGAAAGAGGTGCATTCAAAAGCCAATATTCTGACAAAACTGAAGTATTATAAGATTATGTCGCAAGATAATTAATATTACAACGCCAAGTTATTACTTTTTCCATATGGAAAACTCGTTTCAGAATTTCAGCCAAAATTTCATGAGATCGGTTACGCACTGTAAAATTCTCGATCCGAGCCTATAGACCTTAAATAAACCGAACTACTCGAAGTTCGTAGGTAATTTCTGAGGAAATTAAAAAGCGAAAGTTTATACGTGCGCAGATATGGAGGAAGTGTGGCCATGCCCTGCTGAGTGTTTTATGGAAAGGCACTTCACTGCAGGTGGGGCAGCTGTCATCATTTGAGGAGGAGATTGAGTGCGGAGCATTCATGTTTGTGTCCCACTAAAGTGCAGTCGCTTGATATAGGAGCCATGAGGATGACGTAGAAGAAGGTATCCTTTTAAGCTTTCGGACAGTTGGTCCGGTCGTTGGGGGAAGTTTAAATCCTTCCCCCCCCCCCCTTTGTTGGACGGACGAAAGTGACGGGCTAGAAAAAGTTGGGAACGTCCTGGACTGGCGGTTGCACTTTTTAAGCCTCGTAAATTCCGGAATTAGAAGCGGCTAGTGCATAAATGCACTGGCAAGTTTTACAGCCGGAACCGGAACTTCTGAAGCATACAACAGTCGAGTAAGGGCCCGCAAAACTGAAAAACCTCCCACGTTACACCATCAAAAGCAGGAGCATAACAAGTTGGTGGTCGCCACCACACAAATATAGCATGTAAAACTCAAAAGAATTTTCAATGAATGATGGCCAGCAAAAAACTTCAGGGAAGTTCATGACTTTTTGAGAAGGTGCATCAAAGTGGTAAATACTCCGCTCTTAATATTAGCTTGTAGAATGAGTGGATGTATATAAATTAGTAAATAAAGGAAAACATTTTGCCATCATACACGTAAGTTTTTTGTACTCTTTCCTTCCATTGTAATAAATACCGGTGCATCATTAACATCATCCGAGAAATATGAAGGGCTCACTGGATAGAGGGACTTGTTTGGTTGACGTTACGGAAAGCTTGGCCTACTCTTCATTATCAAAGCTTTTGTGGAAAAAACTCGGCCAGAATTTTAAACGGACGGCCGAATTAGTTGGCTTTGGGCTGATCGATTTTTCCCCTTCTTTCGCTGCCCTGGCCTACTGGCCGTTGTCTGTGACTGTAGGCGGTCTTCTGCGTTGCGTGTCGTCACCTCAATGGGGGTCGTTTGCACCTGTGCTCCCTCTTTGGGTGAATTAGTCGACGGGTCGTGTTTGTTTGGCGTTTTCAAGTTCCATGTGATCGTTGTGACCGGGTCATGGTGTTGACGCAGCATTTTTGTTCAAAATTCTGTTCGGTTTTTTGCACAAAACCCTTTAATAATGGCGAGCCGGCCAGGCCCTCCGAACCTTCAGCCACTCAATTCCCCGGATCCGGTGAGCCCTTCATATTTCTCAGATTATCGACCCGGAACTCTCACAATTGCCGACCTGATCATCATCATCATCATCATCATCATCATCATCATCATCATCATCATCATCATCATCATCATCATCATCATCATCATCATCATCATCATCATCATCATCATCATCATCATCATCATCATCATCAGCAGCAGCAGCAGCAGCAGCAGCGTCAGCACCATTGTCGTCATCACCATCATCGGCATCGCCAGCATCGTTATTATTGTCATTATTATCAGTTTCCTAGACGGAGAAGTGCCGCAGCTTTTCGTGACCGTTTGCAGAAGAGACTCCATAAGCACAGAATATTGCTGCCCTCACATTGAAAAGCTGCCTTTCACATGATATTAGCAACCGCCCATAAAGATGAAGAATTTTTTTTATCAAAGTGGGCAGCAAAACTGATTGTAATTCAGAAATCGGAAACCAATAATAAATCGAATTATGCATATTTCTCCCTTTACTGAGAAGCTGGAGAGCTATTCTTTAGGCGGATCGTTTTGGTCTGGCTTTGACGCTGGACGTTAAATCCAATTACACTCTCTCCAAATCCCGTGAACGCCATACTGTCCATGGTTACTAACCACATAAATTTCCCTTAAGTATTTCCAACTGGCGTAAGAGGATACATTTTGGACGTCCGACTAATACTTGCAGACCATGTCCGGAAAGGTGTAGAATGATTAAGGCTCCAGCATATTTATCTGCCTATTTGACTACAGGCATATCCACGAAAAGCACCACTGAACAACCACGAGACCGACGATGCGTACCGTGTATTCCACAGCAGGATGAGAGAAGGGAGCGTTGACTTACATGTGAGTTAGTTTAAAAGGAATAGTAAATGTGCACGGCATTTACTACATTCTCTCTCTCTCTCCTCCACCTGGATCCGATGTCAAAACAGAGTCGAAAAAGACCGGAGGCGGGAGAGGGCCCAGGTGGCTGGCACGGCGTAAATCCGCACCTAGGCGTGCCACCACACCCTTTAGTCTACGACATACCCTAACCAGGATTTTATACAAGGAAAAATAGAGGGGCGGCTCGGAACCGAATTGTCATCTGGTCTTGCTCCGACTCCTCCAATTTTCGCATTTCTTTATGGATGTGCATTCCCAGTAACGTCTGCCGAAGCCGATCTAGTCCCCCCTAATGGGCCAGCACATCATATCGCGCGGACGGTTTTAGGGAGGGGGAGCGGTTTCACCTACATGCCCACACACACCCCACATGACGCAGAAATCTGTCCCAAAACATGCGTGCACGCGACATCTTTCCGCCACACGCTTCTGCATCATTTCTGCAACGAACATACGAATCTCTTTACTAGGGCTGGTGAGGCGTGGCATGCGGGACCATACACATCACACGTACTTGGAAAGTGCGCCAACTGTACAGCCGGGTACGGGACGGGGAAGCCAGCTCGTGTGTGGCACGCGTAGACGGGTCGTTCAGCCTTTTCGTCCACTGCGTTCAGGGTCATTATCAGCTGGCTGACAGACTCAGGCAGTCGACGGGCACATAGGAGAGGAAAGAAAGAGCAAGGTCGACACTTGACAGTCAGTTCTTACTTTAAATCAGGATATTTCCCACCATTATACTACTTGAAAATAAGAAAGATTCTTTTGGTAAAGGATAAATTTTAATGCGTAAATTTTCGAGTCTGGTTCCCCAGCACGTCATCAGACTTTTGGGCTATGTACAAAAACACTTCATTATTTAACCGTGTCGAACAAGTGATTCAATGGTTGGCCGAAGCTTGCGCCAATGCGCATCAGTGGTTTTTCGTCATCCACTCGGCATTGGCTGCGCTCGCTTCCATTTGTCCTTGAGGAATTTGTACATGGCATCTAAATCGATATGCCGATTGGTGCATACCTCATCTGTGTGCATTGTCCCCAGGAATTTGCGATATTTCCTTATTGGGCAAGCACCAACAATGCGAGTGTTCTTCCATGCAAATTTGTGTCCAGTGTCCAGTGTGTGCATAGCCACCTGGATAGATGATCTCGTCCCTTCACCGTTAACTGATGCTCATGTATGCGGATAGAGGCAGATTTCTCAGTTTGATCACGATGGACGTCATCACAACTGAAATATGGTATTTTGTAGATAACACATTTTATCGTTTTCATCATCTGCCGAAGAAGACGAAGAAGAAGAGAGGGCGAATTCATGGACCATATTGGACTCAAACTGACGTTTCGGAAACGTCCTCCTTTCCATCATGATGGAAACGAGTGGTTATTTTTTTTTACCGAGTACGGTTTCTACAGGAGATTGAAAAGCAGCATACTCAAAACCGGACATCTTGCCGACTCCGAAATGTTATAAGATTATGTCGCAAGATAATCAGTATTACAATCACGACCAAGTAATACTTCCTAATCGAAAAACATTTCAGAATTTCAGCCAACATTACATGAGACCAGTTACTCACTGAGCATAAGTCGATAATGTTCTACAATATACACTGACAGATAAGATAAACGAAATGTAAGCTGCTTAGATACAATAAAATGAGAAACTCATATTATGCCAATAACAAACCAGATTATATTCTCCGGAAACAACGTAATCCCGGTCCCTGATGGTAGTATCATATGGTGAATCGATGTTCGCACAGAACGCGGTATGAGCAACCGGTCTGGTTTTGCGAGCACGTATATGGCTGCCTTTGATTGACCTTGGTAAGAAATGATTTGGCCTCAGTGGCCAGGATCCGTTGCCAGTATAAAGTCTGCTGAAAAAATGAAGCAAGGTATAAATCCCACCTCTTTTCATCTTTTTCAGGTAAATCTGACGCACATTGGCGGCAGTTTTTCGGTTCTGCCCAAAGATTGCATCGTTGTAGGTACGGAGACGGCTTCCCGAGAAGACTACCTGGACATAAACGTCACGAGGATCCAGGGTCCCCTGTTTGCTCAGCTGGTTAACCTACGCGATCCTACTCGTCCAGTGCTGAGCTTTCGCATCCAGGAGCTGCGTAAAGGCCTTATAGCTCTGCAGTTGCTAAATTATGCCGAAATGCAGGAGAAGGTGAGTACTACTGTCTTATTTAAGGGGATTATCGAAAAGCTGTAGAAGAAAACCGATAATAATGTCTGTTGCTCGGCGTTATTCGGATAATTACAAGCAGATGGACTGGAATTACAGGCTCAAGTAGAGCTCTCGTAGTTAACACTGCAGCCAACTGAAAGTAAACACATCAACTCTCAAGTGAATTCAATAATTTCTGATCATTGCTGACCGGTAGAGCGAGGGACCAAGTTACAGACAAATATAGTTGTAACATTTTGGCATAGGACGTACAGATCAGTTCTATGAAGAGTTCCGACTTTTCATGATCTTAAGTAATGTATAAGTGTTGAGAAAAGCAAGGCTCACAATGAAGAGATATAGATAGACTATTATTTGAAATTTGCAGGTTTTGATTCCCATACTAGAGCAGGTTTATTTTCTGAAAAGCGCCACCAAGGCAACAAAAGTTTTAAACCGGAAAAAACGTATGTGCTTAAGTCTTAGATCTGTGATCATAACTGTGGCCAATATAACCTTAACAACCGACAGATTACAAACTTGCGCTTTGCTGCTTTTTGGCGGAAAAGACGAAGGACTCCCTGTCTATCATGGCGAATGATGATCGACTGATGACATTACTGTGAGCAGCTTGTTGCTGGGCTATACGCCAATTACAACGTAGCGTGATTGGGTCGGCGAATTTCTTTCAGTGGTTAGGTCGTCAGCCATTTAGATTCAAGATAAGTTCCATGACTTAAGGTTCAGCACGAGCAGGACAGGACTGAGAAGCCAGTACAGAACGAGCCCTAATTCTGATCTTACTTGTATCCGGTCACAACTTGTCCGAGTATGTCTGAAGGGCTTGACGAACGGTAGTTACTTTTTTGAAAGTGAGGAAGTCCAATTAATCTCAACAACAGATTAGGCTGGTGTAAGAACTGAAGTATATCAGAGGGAATCATAGAACATGCAAGTACCGAGCCTAAACGGCATCCACACAACTAGTCGCAAACGAAACTGTACGGGAGAACTTTGTTGACGTCCTGAAATGCCCTGTAGTCAACCTGAAGAAGGGCCTCTTGAGTCGCGGCACCTACAAAGCGCAGTCAGCATAGGCTACATGGAGCCTAAATCTAAGCAGGAACTTGCATATCTACGTCGAGAACGTCCCAGAAGCCATCATGACTGATCTCATGAAATGTTGGCTGAAATTCTGAAATACATAACTGAAATATTATAGAATTATGTTGCAGGCTGACTAGTTTTACAAAAAAGGAAAACGCATTTCGAAATTTCGGTTGACATTTCATGAGTTAACCCACCCACTGTTTATACTTAACCCTAATTCGGTGTAGTTAATTGTTGAAGACACAGAAGGCATTCGGAACATCTAAGCCGACCATTTAAGTGGCGCTGGAGTTCTTATTTATTTGGATAATATCACTTAGCACGCGGGGGGGACATAAGCAACCAATAATTCCAGTGACGGCGGGTCAAATAGCTGAACAATCATGACGCCTTGAATCATCAGCGATGATGAGATTACGGCGACAAGTTACTCGGGCGCGGAATAAAGGCAATCATCACATTAGATACAACGCCGGCGATAAATTCGTTAGCTGCTGGTTATAGTAAGCGCGTTGTGACGCGGCCACTGCCTCATATGAATGCTCTGCTCCTTGTGCCACCATTACCACTAACTGGTTCTGTCTCTGATGATGGGTTCGGGGGAGTATCCAAAGCGATTAGGCCAGCAAACTTTTGTTCCACTGATCGCGTCTTCCGTTCTGACGTACTTCCTGGAATACAGTCATTCCTTTCTATTGATAATATGCCATTTCGCTTGGCAATAGATTCGTTTTTACGCAACCTCGTCCGGACCTGCTTACATGGTTTATCAAGATAAATGGTTTTGCAACGACTGTATTCAATCCGGTGGATAGCACCAGGTTGTTGACCGGTTGGGAAATCGTCGGCTTTGGGTTGCATGGTATTCCAGTCCGCAGCTCGCCCATCCAATGGACTAATTCTGTTTATAGACCAATAGCCTAGCGTGGTGCCTTGGTGATTTAGTCTGTTTTCGCCTCGTTACATTTGCTCTTGACCCGGCCTTCTTGGAGAAACAGCCATATATTTTAATTCCTAACCAACTGAAACGAAAACGCCAGCATAGTGTCAGAAGCATAAAATATCTATTGAGAAATGAGCCATTTCCGCCGCATTGGAAGGACGGCAGCTTTGTTTCTTTTGACTTTTCTGCTGCGAGACAGTGCAGCCTGCAATGTGGATTACTTTATAGTAATAGCGGACTTGTATCGCACTCCTAACACGCCTGTCACCCGATCCAACCCCTGTTCCCACGTCTATCCACACAGAAAGTCAAATAAATTCTCCACTGGTCAGCTTAACGAACGCTTCATCACAGCCCGTTCCTTTTAACCTTGGGCATTCTTTCCACTGGAGCTTGCCTGCAGAGCGAGAGACCGCCAAATCAGACTTGCAGGGGAGAGATCAGATTCCTTGCACTCTCGCTCAATACAAAAAGAAGGATTACTCGCAAATATGAACAATACTGAATGGCTTTTTCTGGTTTAGTTGCTGCTATCCTCAGGGGAAACTGCATACACCACAGTTCGACCGTCGTAGCCGACGATGTTCACCGTGTGCTCTAAAGCAAAGTGGAGCAGGCACGGTGACTTGCGCAACATCTACCTTACTCCATCCTCCCCCACCTAGACCCGGTGTCAAGACAGAGTCAAAAAGACCAGAGGCGGGGAGTGCGCAGGTGGCTGGTACGACCGGATCCTCCACTCCACACCCCCTGGTCCACACACCATATGACCAGGATTTTAACCAACAAAAATGGATCAGAAAGAGGAAAATGACGAAAGTCACTGGGCAGCCATGCGCACGACCTGTATACCCAGTGGGGGCGTAAACGCATCTACTGGCAGGAGCCAGGGAACTGCCAGAGCGCACTAGACTGCGAGCGCCATGGTTTTTTGATCATGCCATAGCAGACGTTCACACATTGGACAGACTCTACGGATCGCATGCAGTCCACCATGCGGGCTACAAAGTTGGCAAGCCGCCAGTGGTCAAACGGGTCGCTCACACACGCATACGCAGGGGCCATAAACAATCAGGATAAGGGTTGACTGTCTGGCAACCGAAATAGGACGAGAAGAGAAAGAAACACTTTTGACCTTTTGGCCATTTGGCGTAACCAAACAGATGCTAGGAGAGTCACCTCACGGTAAGCGCGTTTCCAGCAGAGCACATAAACATGAACTTACTGTCTGCACGTCGCAATTCGGATTTAACTAGTTCCTTCTCACTCTATCACGGACACAATACATTTACACAAGTAGAGGGCGAAGGTGACCGGTTTGATCAATAAGAAGGGGGAGGAGGAACAGCACACACCCCGACGCCAGGTGTCGTACGCAGGGACAACTCTTGGGTGAAGATATCGGTTTTACCAAAAAAGGAGGCTTTCTAATTATTTCAAAGGTTGCTTTGGCATCATTAACCACTGTTACACAGACCTGACACTTGAAGTTGCCAGTTTCTGGTCAGGTAAACATTCACAGATGAAGGAATCTGAAAAGTGGTAGAAGTAAATAAATCTCGCATGGTGACT